CGACTCCTTGTCGCTGATGGACAGACGCCGCTTGATCCCATCGGATTCCAGACACGTTGAAGAACGCCAATACCTTGGTCGAGAGTTGCGCAGGAGTCTGCAAATGGACCGCAAAGCTTGGTGGTGTGAACGTGCTAGGGAGATGGAGCTTGCTAGTCTCTCTGGTAATACCAGAAAACTTTTCCATCTCATTCGAGTCACCGAAGGTGTTCGATCTGGTATAAGTGAAACAATATGCGAAGAGGATGGCACCTTAATCACCAATCTTCAACGACGGTTGGAGCGATGGGCCGAACATTTTGGCTCGCAGTTTTGTTGGCCCCCAGCTCCATCTGCTACCTCTTGCGCTCGCGCTGGGGCCGAGTGGTCTACCCCCACAGATCCCCCTCTTCCCAGGAAATCGAGCAGGAGCTCAGGCACATGAAGCGTTATAAAGCTCCCGGCCCTGATGGTCTTCACCCAGCTCTATTTAAAGATGGTGGCGCATCGCTGGTCCGAGAACTCACCGCTTTGTTCTCGAAAATTTGGTCGAAAGAGAAGGTCCCATCATCTTGGGGTGAATCGATAGTCGTACCCATCTTCAAAAAGGGCCTGCGCACAATCTGCTCCAACTACAGAGGAATAAGTTTAGTCCCCGTCGTTTGCAAGCTGCTGGTGTCCATCATACTTCGCAGGCTATCCCCAACACGCGAATCGTTGCAACGAGAAGAACAAGCTGGGTTTCGCCCTGGTCACGGCTGCATCGATCAAATCTTCACACTTCGCCAGATCCTCGAGCTCCGCCATGTGTATCAGAGGCCAACGATTGCTGTGTTCCTGGATATCCGTGCAGCTTTCGATTCTGTCGATCGTACAGTACTGTGGCAGTGCCTTCTGAGGAACTGTGTCCCCGAGAAGTTCGTCTCCATACTGCGCGCTCTATACAGTCTGACCTCGGGCAGGGTTAGGGCTTATGGCATGCTTTCGCCTACCTTTGTGGTCTCCAGTGGAGTTCGACAAGGATGCCCTATCTCTCCGTTCCTATTCAACTTTGTCATTGAGGATGTCCTGAAGAACGCTCTGAGCGATTCGTTGAACGCTGGCGTTGAGCTCCTCCCAGGTAGTCGAGTTGTTGATTTGGATTATGCTGATGATATCGTCTTGCTGGGTGACGATCCACACGTCGTCCAACTTGCATTAAACCGCTTGACGATTGAAGCATCAAAGTACGGTATGTACTTTTCGCCATCCAAATGCAAGGCTCTCCTTCAAGACTGGCAGGTGCCTCTGCCTGCACTCACGCTTGCTGGTGAGACACTGGAGCTTGTGGAGAGCTTTGTCTACTTGGGAAGTTGCATCACTGCTGGCGGGGCTGTTGGAGACGAGATTTCGATGCGCATCTCGAGAGCAGGCCTCGCTTTTTCTAGGCTGAGGCATTTGTGGCGTCGCCACGACATTCGTCTCTCCATCAAAGGGTGGGTCTATTGTGCAACTGTTCGTGCAGTACTGTTGTACGGATGCGAGACCTGGCCCTTTCGTAAAGATGACTTGCGCAGGCTATCCGTCTTCGAGCACCGCTGTCTGCGGTCCATTGCCCGTGTGTGGTGGCAGCACCACGTAAGCAATGTGGAAGTTAGACAGCGTGTCTTGGGACGTGGAAGCCACTCGCTCGAGGAGCTCATCTCACTGCATCAACTGCGGTGATTGGGACACGTATTGCGCATGCCTGTCCAGCGTTACCCCCGTCGTGCGTTGTTTGCACTTGCTGGACAGGGCTGGAAGAGACGGTCTGGTGGACAGCCTACAACATGGAGAAGCCGCATGAAAAAGTTGACGAAACAATTGGCCTCGGTCGGTTGTTGTCGACTACCTGGTTGGGGTCCGAGAGATGAGGATACTTGCTGGTTGAAAACCTTGGAAGTTATGGCTCAAGATCGATGTCAATGGCGGACGTGTGCATCAGTGTGTTGCGGTGTCCCTTCTTCCTCCCCCTAAAAAAGAACAAACTGAAAAAAAATTTCAAAAACTGTGAGTGGTAAACTTGACAAAAAAACATTTCTTGTTGCTCTTTTCTTATTATTCATATTGTTTTCCTATTCAGCCATGATTCCGATGGCACAATATCTGTACCACAGATTGTGTATAATATATATATATATATATATATATATATATATATATATATATATATATAGTCCCACGCGACTTCGAAGTTTTAAACGAGCCAGCCAATCGGACCGCACACATCCGGCTACTGATTGGAATCCAATCAACCACAGCAGCTTCAGCCCGGGGACTCAGGGCAATACCAACACCGGCTTGGCCGGTGCTCGAAGCTGCATCGTCACCGGATAGGCGCAATGAGAAAGTGTTGCTAGTGTCACCTGAAGGGGATCGCAGAGTGAGTACAAAGCTCGAGTCTTGTAGGCGGGCCTCCGATAAGCAGCAGATATCGATCGAGAGGGTCTCCAATGTTCGGGCAAGTGCTGCCTGTTGACCGATCTGAAGCAATGTGCGAACATTGAGGCATGCCAATCTGAAGGAGGATCGAAGGCACCAAATGGAAGCCGATGAACTGGAATGGGCCGCTTGCTTGGACATGGGCCTGTTGACAGGGCAGGAATGACGCTCCGCGTTCACATGTGAGTTGAAACTAAAAGGCAAGCGACTATTGAAGCAACGTGGAGGAGGGCCGAGAATTGGGGGGTTGAAAACAGGGGGGATAAAAGTGAAGCGGTAACGGGACGATAAGGGTGAAAAAGCGCAAGAGGGGGAATAAGAAGACGGGAAGGCTTGAGCAGTAGCATCCAAATCCCTATCCACCCTGCCCGGTGCAGCAGATAGGGCACTGTTGATTATCCTCTGCGACGGCCAGAGCATCAAGAAATAGTTTGAGAGAAGACTTATAGTATTTCGTGGGCAGGATAGTGTCGGGTTGCCCAGGCCTAGAGAGGAGTACGATTAGGGTTCTCAACCAAAGCTTTTGGTCCAAAAAGCTGACCGTAAGGCGGCGGGTTTGGCAGTGGACTACAAGGAGTCTTTTCAATATTAATTCGGAATTTCTCCCTGGTGCTAATAGTGTGGCTTCGCTTTGCATACATTCAGGGAGGCAAAATGTATGCAAAACGAAGCCACACTAACAGGACATGACCAAGGAGAAAATTTCGAATTAAGATTGTGTTAGGAAGCAATGGCAGTGATGCGCCTTCAATGGTGCTGCTATATCAGGTATGCCCATGAGCATCGGAAAAATACGGCAGTTGCAGAAATGACAGGCGCCGATGGAACTCAGTCCGTCGACGTCGAGTATCTGGTGCTGTGGGACAAGCTATGGTATGTGCCTCAACTAAGCCGGTCTCGTAAGCCATCAACGTTGCAACGAGGAGTCAGTATCGAAAAGGCGACAAGTAAGTAAGTTGAATAGATAAGGATTAGCGCAGCGCATGGTAAATACACTTCTTCCGACTCCACTTAGTAATCCAAATGCGGAAATGTGGAAGGTTGGTCGCATCCAGCTGGACCGCACATGTAACTGTGAGTTTACGTTGTTGCATTTTGAGGTTTGCTTATTGATTCCGCTGGTCCGAGTATTGACAAGGTGCCTACCTGTTGAAAACCGCCATCTCGATTGCTGGCTCCAGGAGACTATCACTAGTTGCTGGAGGAGATGGGGTGTACGATAATTGAAACACTGCAAAGCTCAAAGAGTGGTCCCATCCAGTGTGGAATTAGGCTATGGCCAAACCACAGCTCCATGCACTTTGTATATGCATGTTTCTTCCGGATGATCTAATGAATGAAGTGTATGCTGAAGGAGTGTGGGCCGGCTGTGAACCAGTCGTGGCTCCCACAGACATGCTTCCTAATCTTATGTTTCGGGTTTGCACAGAATGTGGGGTGTATGGATGGAGCTGTGTGGGTGATACAGCGCAAAAAACCCAAAGATTTCTCTGTAGATGCAAGCACCTTGTAATTGTCCCAGTCGAACAAAAGATGGGACCAAGCCTAGTCAAACACGTGCCTGACATCGAGTAAATCAATAACACTACGGCTATATGTGATGGTTAGGTCAGTCGCGGTTGAAAACTATCTGGCTTGTTCTCATACGGCATTCCTCCTCCGTAATAAGGCAGCAGGATGCGAAGGGGGTCAGTAACTACTGCACTAGTAGCGTCAAGTGGACAATTCCGTGGTTAACGCAAACAAGCCAACTGCTTGCCTAAAAATCGCAGTAAGAACTGAATTGCACACCAGATCGAAAAGACCAATCTTTACTGCACCAACAAAAAGACGAATTAATCGTTTGCGTAGTGCCTTATCACTATTCCTGTATGACACGAGAGCGATGGTATAAGACCCGGCCACACAGAAACAGTTGAGGATTTGGACTGCATCCCATAAGTCGGGTAGAGTGAAGAACAAGTTCGCATCCGCCAAGGCTGAACATCGCATAGTCTGAGGTTGCGTAAATTGGAATACGGACAAACAAATGATCCCGGATACAGTAAATCCGAAGCGTTGGTGTTGTCCGGTCAACAGGAGTTCACGAAAGGAATAATAGAAAACAAAAATTATGATAAATGTTGATGGAGCTGAGCACGGTGGTGAAGTTGGGCGAAAAATGTAGCGAAACTGTTTCACAAACTTAAACTGGTGGCAAGGCAGAATGATTGAACCAATACAGAAGACAGGTGGTGACCAAGTAAGTATAAGACGCACGGGAGGCTTTAAAATGCTTGAAAAAATTGGGCAACTGGGTTGCAGACGTTTTACTACAAATCGAGGTGTTCAGCGCGTAACAGTACATGGATTGCTAGCATTGACTAATGTGCAGAAAAATCTTTCATCTTGATTACTGTAGAGACGTATGCAACCCAAGTGCCCAGATCCGCAACCAAATCGACGCTTAAACAGCCAATCCGAGTAACCGGAACTTCATGCCATGGCACATAGTGCAATTTTCCACGTTCAGCTCAAAAGTCTTGGACAAATGAAAAGTAAACGGTGGGCCTAGGACTCACGAAGGTTTGCCTGCTTCAGCCAAGTCTGTTTGCAGCTTTTCACCGCCTTCAATCTCCATGGTGCAATACACCATTTTATTCGACGGTAGGTGCTTAAGATTTTTCACTTGTCCGACGACAACCTGAAAGTGAACAAGGGTGGTAAGCAGGATAAAACGGTGTGTGGCGTCGCTCAGCTTGAAAGATGCAGACTGGGTTAAGGTATCGAAGATGTGAATTCATGGTCCGTGTGACGGCAAAAGTGGTACATTAGCGAAGCAGTTAAGAATGAAGCATAGTTGCTAAAAAGAATAAGAAATGGATAAGCGAAACCCGGAATTAGAGAAGACGCAAATGTGTGCCTGCTGAACAAAAGGGAAAGGCTGAAAATAAGAATTTTGAAATAAAAGCAGACAACTAGCAACAGGCTCGTGTCACCGTGGAGATTTGAAAAAATAGGTCAATCTTATGGTAGAATTCAGACCATTAACCCATCCCAGCATTAATCCCAGTCGACATGGCTGGCCCCATAGTGGAAACAAAAAGAAAAAAACAAATATTAGATAGTTCCCTTCAACAATTTGAAAAGAACGGAAAGAAGACGAAGGCTGAGAGATGCATGCATTTCGTATTGTCTCCTCAGTATCATACTTTGTGTGTACTGGGGAGACAATACGAAATGCATGCATCTACCAGCCTTCGTCTTCTTTCCGTGCTTTTCAAAATATTAAATAAGCGAAAATCTTTTAAGATAGCGAGATTAAAAGGAAAACGGAAACAAAACTGAGAGCCATGTATAGAGAGATCAAAGGCAAGATGAAGGGAGCCGAATGCAACACCACCATTCAGTGTGAGCGCACTATAATGGAACTTTACTCCACTGCACCAAACTAAGAAGCAAACCCTAAACAACCTGAAGAAAGCACCTGACAAATTTCACCATACATTTGCGCCATGCTATCGGCTGGACGCCATGAGGATTAAATCAGCTGTGTGTTGCCCAGAAGAAATGCAAAAAAACAAGTCAGAGCAGGCGACTAAAGACGATCTGCTTATGCACCGGAAGGCTTGGCTGATAAAAGTCAGTTGGCAAAATTAAGTAAAGGTCAGTTGCTGGTTACATTACATATGAGTAATGATACGCAAGCGTTGATGGCCAAAAGAGACCAAGCACTTGATGTTATCAACACAAAGTAAGCATGACTATGAATTTTATTGTTACATGTCCCTCTTCTGACCAATAACCTGGAGCATATCTAAAAGGAGCATGAGCGGTACCGACACACGAAGTAATCACCTAAGTTACCCGACTGACAGATGTGACACATATACCTGAAGGTATCCCGATCAATCGCCTTCGGTTCACCAACGGCAGCGAGAACAGTAAACGTTTGTTGTTCACAAGCTATGAGAAGCAACAAAGGTTGAAACTGTAAAAAAGCATCGGTAGGAGCTGTGCACCAGATGCACGCTGTAACACAAGAAACAATCAGGGGAAGGAACTTAAGTTCCAAATACCGCACGATGATGAAAAGGGGTTCAGAAATCTAAAAGATCTAAAGACAAGTTTAAGGCAGCTGGTTAGGCACCACGTGTTAGCTAGAAGATCCGTTGCACTAGGCAATAAAAATGTAAAATTTGGATGAAGTGCCTCCATAATTTTTTAAAACAATATACTGGTCTAGGTCAGTGGTTCACAACTATTTTGTGGTTGTTACCCACAAAGCGGGTTCAAGATAAATAGGTACCGAAAAGTTTGGTTCAATAAGCTACTAACCTGCTGCATTTGTGCTTTTATTGTGGAAAATGAACATTATGTTTAATTACCTATCAGTCAACCAAAGAAACCTAGTTTTGAGTCATTTTAATTGAATTAAGAGGTGATGTACGTTAATGAGACGTTTGATATTGCGGCAGTGTTCCAGGACGTGGTGGGTTTCGCCTGGCAAACGTTCTCCCTATAAAAAGCCACAAATGTCTGCTTAACAACACTGTGACGTGGCGGTCGTGACTCGCCACAAAATAAAGTCACTGCCCCGTGGATATCCGCATAATTCTATCCAACCCACGGACACCAATCTCCTACTCGCATATTGATGACGAAATTAAACACTGAAAAATGGAGCAACACAACTACAAGCACAAAATACACAGATACATACGCGTACACACACAATGACATACCCCCTACACAAACTGCTATGGCAAACATATCGGATTTTTGCACATTCTTGATCATGCATCGTTATGTCAAAATGATCATGCCTGTAAAGGCGTGCCTCACCTTGTTGAGAATAAAAGATTTATTTATCTATTTAGTTCCAACAATCTCTGGTATATTTTGTGCGGTTTCGGCTAATGCACGTCATAAGCCGTGTTCCAAGTTCAGTTGCTTCTCTACTTTGGTGTGTGATCTCTGATCAAACATGAACAGATATCAGTGGTTTTTCATTGGTTTCAAATATGTCTTCCAAGTCCGTCCTGGATGTAAGTTCCCACCACTATTCCGCATCGATATGTCCCGAACACTAACCGCTTGTTTTGTCCCTATAGCTTATAAACACTCGTTCGCTCATTTACCCGGCCTGCTGACCTGTGCTCCCATCTTAGTGTTCACTCAACTATGTACTTTGACCCGGCGTACGAGTGCCTGACTCAAAAAACGACGAGCGAGCGGATAGAGGCGCTACCTAGCTGCGCTGTTTTACAGGCTTGTATTCGTAAGTTAGGCAATAAAAATTGTTGCTGAAAATTGCCCGACTCACTGGTCACACACTAATGGCTAGCCAATAGTGATTAGGTTGTTAGTTATATGTTTCGATATAGACAATCTTGTTATCAAATTCATTTGGCGACAGATTTATGAGCTAGTCTTGTTACTTATATGTACCCCACGTAAAATTCTATTTGACCCGCTGGTGGCAATCACCCCAGGGTTGATAACCAGTGATCTAGATTCTCTCAGTCCAGAACAAATAATCCGTGCGCTCTGCCATGGCGAACCGATTTGTCGCGACTCAAGTAGTTCGGTAATAATTATGATCTTATTAATAATAAACAGGAAAAAACAAATGGGCAAGTGGAGCCTAAAGAATGGTGGTGAACACGACAGTGAAACCGAGACCGCATCGGTGCCACATTTGACATAGCATTGAAATACTAGTGCGGTCGATTGCAAGGACGACACCCACCAACTGCAGTCGCACCTTCGATGCGCGTCTCTATGTATTTATACCGTGTCATCGAGTTGTCCTTCTCACCGAAATAGGAATAGCGTTTAAAAGCATTAAAGGTTGTGGAAATCAGTAAGCAGGTATGTAAACAACACAATCCAGCCAGCACAAACAAGTTGAGCGCAACAGACAACCGGCGTGGCATCAAGAGGACTGTTGACAAACGCCAACTGGTTAACTTCATCGTTGCTCCAACCAGGCATCGGCGGTCAAACACGGTCCCCTACCTAATGTCTTCAGCGAACAATGGCCTGATATACGGACGACACAGTAACCATGGTCGTAATGAAATGTTACACACCATCGCAGCAAGTGACATGCATTAAGACTATACACAAGCCGTAGTAACAAGCGTGATAATCTACTCGATAGGTTGTTCCGACATTGTGAAAACTGATGGTGTGTTAGCCCAGTTAGATGCAAAGGGCATGCTGAAACAAGGAGCGTTGAGCGTCAGTCTAATCAGTGGCACATGAACAGCAGCTCGGCCCAAGCAAAATAGAACCATGTCCATATAGTTTAACATCAACAGCCAGTTGCTAAGCGCAATCTCTGCCTCAGAATATGCGGACGGTGCGATGGAATTGTTCACAAACATTTCGATAAGAAAGCTGACGGGATGGAGATAGGTGACTACTACACCCCAACTAACTCAGGCGACAATCTTTTGTGCAATATTTCATAATGAGGGGAATTGTGGAAGGCGGATCCAGAATAGGACGTAATCTCTCAGGTATGATCATTCCAGCTAGGCATTGTCACAAGCAGCACGACAAGCAGCGTTTAAGTCAATAAGATTACCATGACAGGCCGATTGCAGATGGTGATACGCGCACATGCGGTCTATGCTCACCCTACCGGAGTGGAGGCCAGCCCAACGTTCAACGATTCGATCAGTAAGCCACCAAAACATGCAAGGTAAGCAACCTGGAGGTGACTGAGATGAGACTCATTCCCCGATGTTTTCTAGAAGATACGTTGGCTTTATTTAAGGAAGTATAAAATAAAAAAGTAGCCCAACAGAAGGAACATTCGCCCGGTACTTAATATTGTCCAATAGAGTTGGACTTGTCAAGTCAATGTCCCAAGTGGGTTCAGGTGACTAAATTAGAAACTCTGATACATGGCGCATCGACTCAATAGTACGACCCATGATAAAGTGGGGAGAAGATTCAGATCGTGTGAACATAGAATCCGATGAAGATGTCCTCTAGGCTGGCCACACGAAGCGTCTGGAAATTGGTAATAACGCAAATCGCTGCACCACGTTCAAAACAACAAAACAAAACAACAACAACAGCAGCAGTACATCAGCCATTTGAACTGATGCTTCGCTGCCATATAACCATCACGCAATATGAAATAAAAAATAAGAAGAGGGAGAGAAGAGGGACTTACCTGAAAACCTTAATGCCCTAAGCAAACATTCAGGGTCAAGGCGCCTACACTTTGTGTATACAACATACCGTCACAAACAGCTGGCTATCGTGCAAAGATAAGGCGGCATCGGCGAGACAGCTTCCTTGCGGCTTTCACTGCCACGCGTCATAATCAGCCATTACCCCGCAGATAACTCAGCACCAAACATACTTTAAACAGGCAATCCGATTAGAAGACAGCAGCAGACACGCCACTGGTGTCTACTGCGAGCCATGTCCTGCAAAGTCTCGAGGCAAGCCCCAGGCGAGTAACGTGGACTCCAACCCGGTAGGCGAGACGGACCAACGGCACCCAGTTTGGTCGTCAGTGACTTCATTTCCCGCTGCCAAGTCAACTTCTGTCCACCTCGAGCCTTGCGCCAACGTACACCTGGCAGACTAAACAACGCCCTCCTAGGTAAGCGGTGACCAGGCATGTGTAGCACGTGCCCGAGCCAACGCAACTTATTCAGTGCTATCTGTTGTTCTAGGGTGCTAGCATGATTATCAACACCTAGTACTCGCCTACGCACATCATCGTTGCAGACACGCTGGTGCCATCCGACACCAGCAATGCTTCGCAAACAACGATGATCAAAGACTTGAAGGCGCCTCAGATCTTCAGACCGAAGGGGCCAAGTCTCACTACCATACAGCAGAACGGCCCTCACTGTGGCCTTGTATACACGGCCTTTCAGACGGAGGGAAACTCCCTTCTGTCGCCAAAGATGACGCAGGTTCAGAAGGCAGCTCTGGCCTTTGCAATGCGTGAGCTCATGTCAGTTTCTATGCGCCCATCATTGCTGATGCAACTGCCAAGATAAGTGCAATGATCAACCACCTCGAGTTCCTCGTTAGCAAGCGTCAAAGGGTCATCAAGTGGCTGGTGGTCCTGCAGCAACACTTTGCACTTTGAAGGTGCGAAGTGCATACCGAATAATGGGACCACTCTGGATAGGCTATTCAGGGTTGATTGTGCCGCCGCAAAATCGTCGAAAAGCAAGACGATATCGTCCGCATAATCTAGATCAACTAACCTTTCACCAGGCAGCACTTCAACGCCTACATCGTTGGATTCCGTCAGGAAACACTCCATGATAGAATCCACGACGAAATTGAACAAAAACGGGGAAATCGGACAACCCTGACGAACGCCACTTGTAGTCGAAAAGCTATCCGATAGGACACCATAGACCCTGACGCGGCCTCTAGTGTTCGAGTATAGAGCCCGAAGGATGTTCACATATTTCGTGGGAACATCTTTCCGCGCAAGTAATTCGAACGTTCAAGTTCCTTGCCGTTATGAAAAATCATGCACTGGGAGGCCCAGTAGCAAAGAACTGGTTAAACGATCAGTGGAGTCAGTGATGATGTCCCGAGTGGTCCGCTCCGCTGGGAGATGTTTCCGTGAATGTCCACAGGCGTTCCCACAGACAGGGGCGATGGAACCCACGTGAGAGCACGGCAGCCGGTTCAGTTGAAGGCTAGATCCGAACACGGTTAATCGAGTGTGATGAACCTCTTTTGAAGAGCTCGAACATTACCTACAGTGAAGTCTACGATATTTTATTAGAGACAATGGTGAAGCGTATCCTAAGAAATTGTAATGATATGGCGGAGAGTTTTGCAAACCCAGAGCACGCTCCCACTAGCACAAAAGCAAGGAAACCCTGCTGGCTAGTGAGATCTATCGGCGTTGAAGCAGCCGGTCTCTAAAAGCGTCCTCCGTGTAATCAACACCTATGGAAGGCATAGATATGGGTAGAATGTTGAAATAAAAAGTACATGTTGGCCAAGTCTCAATCAGACAAAAACGCTTTCTATATTACAAATACCCTTGGCTTATCAGTAAATAGTGCAAAGTAACACACCTAATCATGGCTCGACCGCACATACGAGGTCGCATGTGGAATCGGCCCAAGAGGCCCGCATGTCATACAATTGATATCAGCCTGCAAACTAAGTGTAGCATGGATTAGCTGTATGCTGACCATTCCATAATTGCGTGATCCAATGAAACTGGAGAGATAACCATCACTGGAGCAACGGGAACGTCAGCACCACAGACACTGTGGTGAGGTAGAGGTAGTGACATGCATCAACACCTCGAAGTGCCAGGGGAAGTGATGCAGCACATCCTAGTGTTCATGCGTTGCACTAACATCCAAACGGCAAACAAGACTGGTTTAGTGAGCCACTCGGAAGATCCGAGGGAGGGAAAAGGTTTGTCAGTGACCGACGGAAGCTTTTCGTTCGGTTAGGACGGAAACGCACATGAAGCGACTGTGAACAACAAATATTCAGTGGCAGGAAATATGCATGTACAAGGCCGTAACGAGCTATGCCACGGACAGGCAATCGTAGCTTACCTCTAAGGAAAAGGTCAGGTGAATATCTGGCTTGTTTTTCACGGTGATTTCGCTGGCCTCCTCGCTCAACTGCCGGTACAACGCATTTGTGGAGCCACCGGAAGTTCCCGAAGCACTTCGATTGTGCTTTTTGAACTTTTGGAAGCTTGTGGAAGCTTTCGTAATGGGAACAGCCTCCAAGCGGAGCATTAATTCACCGACCATCTTTTTCAGTTCTTCAATGTACAGGGGTTCCATGTCTTTCACGACTAACCGTGGAAACTGTCGGTTCTGTGAAAGAGAATCGGAATGAAGAGGCACGGGTGTGTCTCTAAGTTCAGTATGCTGGAAAGCATAGGAAAAAGTGCGAAGGTAAGTGTTGTATGGTATTGAACGGAAGGGCATTCAAGGAATGCGGAGGCGGATAAAATCGCCAGGCGTTAGATGGAGCCAGGTGAGTAACTAGTACGTGACAGACAATATGAAGAAAGTTTATAGAAAGTAGAAGTCACGATTAAAATTCACGCACAATAATATGCCTCGACGGGGAGTCGAACCCCGGTCCACGAATTTCCGGTCCGCTGCTCTACCACCTGAGCTACCGAGGGCTGACAAACTTTACCCTACTCACAAACTTCCAACATTAATCTACCATCGCCCCTTGGACATTTGAAGGACAGGTACTTCGGTCCATTGGGAAGTGACGTGTGAGTGGGCCAATCTGCAACATCAGGACAGGTACTGTGAGCCCATTGGCAATACGTCGCGCACCAAGCAGAAGTCATGTGTTAAAATTTGCGCACCTAATCGTCAGCCCTCGGTAGCTCAGGTGGTAGAGCAGCGGACCGGAAATTCGTGGACCGGGGTTCGACTCCCCGTCGAGGCATATTATTGTGCGTGAATTTTAATCGTGACTTCTACTTTCTACAAACTTTACCCTACTCACAAACTTCCAACATTATTATGAAGAAACACAAGGAAGCAATTCGGGAATGACTCCAGCGTGGTGAAACTCAATTTAACCGAGCGTTATGGGTAGATGGCTTTCATTGACAAGTGAGAGAATATGGGAACACAATTATTCCAACCGTTCCAGCATCTCACATACAGTACAGCCGAAGTTGCACATAAATTAAAATGTTACATTTAGCTTCAAGCATTTCTTGGGACAAAGTGACTAAACACGGATCAATTTGCGTTGTGTGATTAGCAAGTGGAGATGGTGCGTGTCGGCTAACTAAAGATTGTTTCACTGATATTCGCACGTAGCGGCACGCGATCATCTAGCGCAGTAAGGGGAAATTCTTCAATGCAGTCAAAGATGAACTATGTCAGGGACCAAGTGGGGGTGGTATCGCGCGGTTGCGTCTGAAACAGGTGCATCCAGCCTAATTAGCAGATCGATTAGGATCGTGAAGAAACGCGATGCGACGCATCCGGATTACGTCCAAGCGGAATGAGCATCGAAAACATCGCGACAAAAGGCGACAACAAACAGGCTTCAATTTTCAAAAGACAATTGGTACCCAAACATAAATCAATAAGTACATCATAAGTAGTGCATCAGCCGCAAAACCAAAGGACCGACTAAACAGGAGCGATAAGAGGTGTGCAAATTGTAAAATTTAAACAATTAGGCAAATATTCAGCATCAATACGCCTAAAATTCTTTAATGTGCAGCGACCACAAAGAGATGGCAAACACGTGAAGATCATGCGGCATTAGCTAGATAGCTTCCTTGCGGCTTACACTGTACATGTCAAGGTCGATAAACTTCGGCAGATAACGAAGCATTATGCAGGGTATCAGCGAGCAGAAGACGGCAAATGCGACATTGATGCCATGACTGTTAATATCAAGAGTCCCTGGGGGTAGCGTGGATCCGGTGCTGGAATATGAGACGAAGCAACGGAATTCATGGTAGTCATCAATGACTACATCTTTCGCCGCCGGCTACACAAATGCATCCTACAAGTCTTCGCAATATTAAATGCGGTAAACAGAACAAGACTTGTCTCCTAAGGTGGTGTGTGCATATACGTAGTATGCGTTCGAACCAACGTAGTCTATTTCAGAATGACAAGAAAAAACCAGATTTCGACAAGAAACTCAGAATTCTACTATTTCGCGTATTCTCGTCAGCCGTTTACATGCAATTAGTGGAATAGTTAGATTGTATGCAAAGACATTCAAGGTGTAACGTCACTGGTAAATCGAAAACGGCCAAAGTTCATCTGATGCTGGCCGGCATTCCGCATAGATGAATGTGGCCCCCAGCCTCACCAAGGCTGATGAGAATATACGAAATAGTTGAATTCAGATCATCCTGTCGAAATGTTGTTCTATCTTGCCATTTTGAAATTTGTGAAGGGAAAGTCTTGTTTGAATTATCCTACTTTGTTGCACTTGGTAATTCAAAGGACCAACAGGATATGCACAGCTTGTGATCGTAGATACGCTGATGCTAAACGATAAAAGTGAATATCCGTAGGCGACGATGGTTAAACATCTGAGGATGCTTAAGGTTCACAGGCAGACATGGCCAGGAGTTACTGTTGCTGAATAGAACGATGCGCACCGCGGTTTTGTGCAAATGATCAAAGTTAGGGGAAATTTCGTTGTGATGCTAGAAGTGAGGCCGATTCACAGAAGCAGTTTCAGCTCTCACAGTGCATTCAGTCGACTAAATTGTCATACAATCGACAACACTAATACAGCTATCATGATAACTGGATGAGGGTAATGATTACCTTGAAATCCAAGAAGTCAAGAGACGATTCGTGGTCCTACAACGGCAGCTTGCAAATCTGAAGCCCGAAGTGCATGCGAAAAGGCAGGACCAGTCTAAAACGTTTGAGACTGCGCAGCTTTGCCACCGCTAGGATGCAGAACAATGCTGTCTGCATAGCCCAAACTAATGGGATTTCCCCCTATGTAGCGCATCAGTCCACGCGTTGTGATGATCCACCAGGAAACACACGATGTGGAGGAAAAGTGAACAGCCATTACGAGTGCTACTCATGGCCGGAAAGATAGCAAACAGTTCACCGTAGACCGATAGTGTTCGAGAACAAGATATGTAAACTAGTAATCTTTAATGAAAAGACCACTCATGGTAAGCGAGTCGAACAGAACAGGATGACTTAATGAGCAGAACACGCAGTCGAACTTGAAGAACACACATGAATTCAACGGTCGTATGCATGAAGTTGCTCCATCACTTGTCAAGCAGTACAAATGTAATCTACACAGTGCGGTCTGTTCCTCTATCAATTAGGATTCCTGTTTAGCAGTAAGGCGGAAACCTTACGAGGAAACTTCAAACTGTATAGTGTAGGATGGATAACAGTTACAAGGAAGTGCTTTTGGGTTAATGGTCAGAACACAAACGGTCCAAATGTTACGTGACCTTGTCCCTCTTATGTCTACCACTTGTAGCATGCCTGTGATTGGGGAGAATGCACGGTGGCCGCATCATCCAACAACCCGCAACGCATAACTCTCTTAGTTGAAAGCAAAAGCGTAATTGCTTGGTTCATATGTGAAAGTGATAGTGTGTCATAGTCAGAATTGGTAATGTTTAAAACAGAAACCGATGCTGTTGACGATGACTGCCAACAGTAACGCGATGGGCGCGGCCGCATTGGCAGCTAAGGACTAAGTCAAGTGTAAGCGGTGAGAACAGTACAAACGTCAGTGACAATTGTACGGAGTGATTTTTGGAGGTAGATGACAGCACCAGAGTTTGCTGAAATGAGTGCAAGACGGATCATTCTTGGTTTCACACTTGAAGGTCAGCGTGCTCCAGAATGAAGGACCGTGTGGTTGGAATGCACAATCGGCTACCAGTATAATCAGAACTGTTTACATTTCCTAAGCTACATACAAGCACCAATAGGGCCAGCTGACCTCAGGGTAAACAGAGTAACCTGGAAAAAATAAAAAAATAAACGGTTGCCATGAACTTGGGCACATTGTTAGAACAAGTATGTAACCTGTTGTGGCACAAATGCTGCCTTGTTGCAGTTCCGGAAACAGACAAGAGATGGTCACGAACGCGCGCAAATGTTCAAGGAGGTCAAAAAACACGAATTGGTCTGGAGAAATATGTTGCCTACTTTGGCCAAAACTTCAACCGTTTGCAGCTGTCCATCAAGCTCTCGTCTGACCTGAGCAGCTTGTTCATCAGCATTATCCAGCTGTGGAAAAGAGGAAAAGGAAAAGTGAGTTAAAGTGCAAGCAGCAATCGCAAGACTGATTCAGGTGAATTGCGAAGGAGGGATGCGAATGAATCGGAGTCACGACCATGGAGTCAGTTTTCTAATACCTCCAACAAGCGTGACACAGGTGGTTCAAATGGACAACACAAGAAGCAAACGGGAGGAATAAGGTACAACAAGGAAGGGTTCAAAAAAGGTGAATATGTGATAGGGTGATCACAGTGAGCCGGTTATATGCAAGAGTCGACCTAAAGACAGGTATGGGAAACCTGTGTCCGTCCACCGGAGTTCAGGCAGGGACAATCAACCTGGCTGGGGTGGTGGCATCGCCAGGGATACCATAATATATTGTGAAGTTGCGATAGCGTGCTAAAAAGCACGCATGAGAATGAATGTATCGTAACAGGTAAAGGAATTCCAGGGTATAGCCGTGTTGAGACGAAAATCAATCAAAGGACAGATAAAGAAACCAAACTTTGGAACACGATTCTCAAATCAAAATCGATCTTGCTTCCCGTAGGATTAAGCCGTCAAGAATGAGAATAACAAAAGCAGTCATATTGCGTGACAGTAATAACATTAATGCTGACAGCCGTAAGCTATGGAGCTCTAATAGCTTCGAAGTGGGTTTAAGAAAAGGCACAAGAACGCTGCAAGACGATGAAGGGAGCCAACGAACCAAAGCATCAGGTCATCACCTCTTTTTAACTAAAATCGTCACTCCACTGGTCGATCTTTGTCGAAAAGCAAGATGTGATTAATCAAGTGGGGAAAGGGAAGCTAACATGGCAGAATGAGGTCGAAATCAAACCAATAGATGGAGCGTTAAGCGCTAGGAGTAAGAAAACAACTGCAAGAGCGCCACAGAGATTTCAACCACTGATAAGGACACTCACGAAGTCCCAATCCGGGATAGCGACAAATACCAATCCTATCCTTAGGGTGAAGATTTTCTTGCTTCTCGGACACACTGACAAACCATAGTGAGCTTTTACTCAGTATTAGCATACAATAGATGCCAAGACAGCTAGCCGAACGGCAAGCGAAGCAGACAGCAGAGTAGCCGGAGGCGAGTCCTGGTCAACAGGCACTCCAGAGAGGCACTAAAAGGTCTGCTAGCAAACGTGAATGCTGAAAGTTAGCGTCACTCAATCATTTCATTTCAGACATAAGTAACAATGCGTAGGCATCGGAGGTCAAACGTGATCAGGGTCCTAGTGTCTTCGGTGTACAACGAGTATATTGCTTAATCATACGATGGCGACGGGTACACCACAGCGTTGTAAACCCTTCCGTCGCGACGATACTGGGATTTAACATGATACGGCGGTTCGCGCACCAACTCATCGAGCTGCAGTGAGTTGTGCCCTCGAGCCCCTTGATAGCTGCACTTATCAGATGGTTAGTGTGGCAGGTGGCTCTCCAAGGATCAAAAACAAGGTCTTGGCTTCGATCAGAATCCCTTATTCACAAACAAAAAGGATCAGTATATATATATATATATATATATATATATATATATATATATATATATATATATATCAAGTGAATTTGAAGCACTCAAAATGAGGTGCATTTACTCCAGCTGTTACCCTTGTGACACCCGCTTGAGGTATGTTCATGCCATTCCAAAGCAATTTTGTACTTAGTGTAATTGACGCGCTCTATGGGAGTTCACGTAGGGCTATCGACACGAACAAGAAACGGGTCAGTCTGGGGTTTTCAACGCATCCCTGAAACAAGCAAGGTCGATTTCTACCACTTCGCAAGCACTTCAGATGTTGTTGTACCTGTAGGGGATATGAATGCGCAACTAGTTCGTTCGGACCCTTCAAAAGTTAGGGTTGGTGGTAAGATTGGGCTCAACTTTGAACGAACCCACAACGAGGAGGGTTTGTTGCGACCTTGCGCCTACCAGCGGCTGTCTATTAGCAGCATGCCCTTCAGATACATTGGGCACCGATCCTTAATTTGGCGTCCTCAGACAGCTGACCAGAGTCTCGCTGAACCAGACATCCCCATAACTTTGAGGTGGCGCGCTTACATCCTGGACTTCCGCTATCTCAGAAACACATGTGCCAACTCTGATTATAGTTCGCTGCAGAGATTCCATAAATATCGCCAGGAAGTGAATCAAAAAACATCGCACAACCGGCGACTGAGGAGCTATCTCAACCCTTTGTTAGATAAAACTACTGGGATGCCCTGCAAACCATGCCGCCTTGCACAACGTGGGAGCTTGCGGTACTATTAACCGAGATCGCACCAGTAAATGAATATCCAAGATGCGTGAACTTGTCGGAATATAACAGAAAAAAGCCTTGCTGGCTCTAAGCACAGTGTGACCAAGTGGTTCATTAGGCGTGAGCTGAAACGGAATCTGCGTGCTGACAAGGCAGCCTGGTAAAGCCGTAGGGTTCAAGAAATGGAGGAGGCAGTGCGGTTCGCAAGTACCACAAATTATTCCAACTGATTTGAGCCAATGGTCACAGGACCCGTGGTGGAGCTGTACGCTATCGGGCGCGTCCCCAGGTTGCGGATTGGGGAATACCTTCTTTGTGGAGGTAACTGCGAAGAAGTCTCGTTTGTCTTGCAGACGACATGAATACACAGTCGCGGACAATCAGCAGCAGCGTCTCAGAACTTGGGAGGTTCTGGATTGGTCACCTGGTTCTCCATCAAATACCACAAGAGCTCCTACGGCGTTGTGTCAAAGCCAAAGTTATCGGCTACAGGGTCACTGAGCACTCACTTCTGTAACCAGATCAATCATCATTATGCACACTAGCGGCAGGTGGAAAACACCTCAACCATGGTACCGCAATACAAAGGAAAAGAAAAGAATGAAACAGAGGCACACCGGCTGAGTCCCCAGTAACGGATGGACATCGTTCCGGAGAGCTAACAGCCGGCTACTGTGCCCATTAATTAAAACCTTGGTTGAAGGGGAAGGCTGAGCGGAAGGAGAAGAACAAAGAGACTCACAACACAAACGCCATTGATGTCTGCTCCTAGCCATGTCAACAAGCGTATCCAACCAAACGTGTTCATCGTCCTTCGGTCCCCAACCAGAGAGCCGAGAGGCTCCGACCGAGGCCAACTTCGAAGTAAGGGCCTTCATTCCTCTCGACCAAGTCATCGCTTGACCACCTCCCCTCTTCTTCCATCCGCACCCCCGGCATGCAAACAACGCACGTCGCGGGAGTCCGTGGGCTGGCATACCCAACATGTAGGCCAGCCATCGGAGTTTAGTGCGTGAAATAACGGTGCTGAGCGATTCGGTTCTTCTTCCTGTGCCATAAACAAGGCGTTAAACACGCTCATCGCTCTGTAACCAGAAGTCAGTACCTAACGGAGGGCGGATGAACAACCTTGTTGGCCACCGGATTCTCTGTGAACTGCTACAGAACACAAAAAGGCGTATGAAACACCCGGCTGTCCAAGGTCATTGTTAATCGACCTGCTGCCTTGCGGGTCAGGTCTGTATGACCAAAGGCTCGGGGTGGGGCCCCTTATGTCAACCCTCTTCCTCGGGCTGGGCAACTGGGAAGATCACTGCTCACGCAACGCTTAAACCTAAATCTTCACTACCCTTCCACTGACTACCTGCTTTTCCTCTTTTTGTTGTTTTTAGCTATGTGTTGTGGCACTGCCAATTGCATGTGGGTCAAGTGTTGAATAATAATGGCCATAGAAAACTATACGTCAGTGAGACAATCAGGACAGCGCGGCCACTTTCAATCATAATAAGGAACGTTGTTTGTACCAAATCTGGCTCGTTGGGCGGAGAACATCTGAGAGCAGTACAGTTGGACCAACGATGCTGAACTTTTTTCTGCTCAGGTGATGCGGGCCGAGAAATAGCTTGTCAGTCTAGAGGTTCTGTCAAAAGCCGAGGTCTGAAACGCAAGGATAGTCCTTCTCATTTTCGCGAGGTTGGTCGAGGGTATCTCGCACCCACACCACTTAAGAATGGTGGCCAGGTCTTTAGTAAACCATTGAACCAAGCCAGACCAAGTTTTCCCCGTCGCGACACGCTGGCTAAAGGTTCCAAGAAATATTTGAATGGTCCCGGGTTCGAGGCCTGCTATCTCCACCTGATGAGATCAAACAAGGTCGAAACACGTCGTGGAGTGCATTAGTTTCGGATGGGCAACACCCAATTTCCTTTCGCTTCGCTGAGCCACGCGTCCAGACAGGTTTGGAAGAAAGAAACGATCTCAACTCAATGGAATGGATCGACAAATGGCAATGTATAAAAACGGGTAGTCGCACCATCAGTGTTAACCATAGGGAGATCAGCCTGACGCAGGTAGCAACACAGTTCCGAGTCTCGTTTGTCGCAGTACAGTGGAACGCGAATCCCGCATGATGGAAAAGCATGCCGGTTTTCATCCAGCACGAGGATAAATGGACCATTTATTCGCTCTGTGGAGGGTGCTGGAACAACGTAACATGTACTGCGGAGCGACGACGGCTGCGTTCCTCGATTGCAAGGGTGCGTTCTACACAGTAAGTTGGTCCATCCACCTTGACACAATTAATCTAAAGGGTGCTCCCATCAAATATGTGAACATTTTAAGTGTAAGGTACTCGAATATCAAATGTTGTATCAGGAGCTAAGGTGAATTCGCAGACGCCGCATCATCGGTGGGTACAACAGAGTTTAGATGACGGAAATGAGGTTACCTCAGCAATTAAAATACGAGTGCATCATACAAATCGTTATGTCCTTCGTTCCATTTACGCTGTTGTCAGGATCCGGATTAAACTAGTGCTTTGCGTCCAAAAGCAATTATCGATCAACCCTATGTATGCAAGGCTTCTGCTTTTCTTCTCGTCTGTCTGTTTGTATGTTTGTATCATGGAACAATTTCAAGTTATGACTATCGCAATGAAGAGATGACATGAAATATAGGAAATTGTTGAAATTCGTCTTCACATTGTGCTTTTCAGATTGCTCACAGGAACTAATATTA